CATGGCGCGGCCGGCGGCCGCCTACGAACCGGCGGTGCCGCCCGCCCCGCCTGCGCCTACACTAGCTGCTACTGGTAAGGACCGCCAGGGGACCGCGACCGGGAGGCGGGTTACCCCCCCCCCACCTCCCCCGGGAGGCGCAGGGCCTCGGCTGGAGGCTTCTCCTAAACAGGTGTGTGACCTTGGAGAGCCTTCGGCCACAGAGGGAATTTACATCGGGCGACTTTGGAGCAAGCATCGCCTCTCGGCTCACTGCTGTTCACTAGAAGTGGAGTTGGGAGGGAAAAAAATAATCAGTTCTTGTGTCTTACAGTGAAGAAAATGTTTGGAAACTTTGTGACTACATCAGGAGTCAGGATCAATACCCTTTAGAAGAATTCTATGCTGTTTTCATATCCAATGACAGGAGGATGGTGAGTCAGTGACATGTGATCAGAATATGGCTATGGAGAGATTCAGGCCTTTAGACCACAGCCCAGTGTAGGTGAGTTGTGGTCCCAGGCCTAGACCGCAGCCCAGCATAAGCAAGACGTGGTCCCAGGCATTTTAAGCACAGCTCAACATAGGCGAGATGTGCTGCCAGGCCTTTAGACTGTAGCCCGACCTGTAAGTGCAATGTGGTTCAAAGCCCTGTTGGCTCAGAGGCACACACACCACACCACGTGAGATTGTTTAGTTTTCTGATGCACTCAGGACCGTGGGAAGAGGCATGATGTTGCTATGAGCTGTGGGTGTAGTTGTTCCCTGTAGTCTGTCAGTTTAGGAGGATGATTATATTGTGCAGTCCAGAATGGTATATCCAACTTCATGCTCCTGAAAGTTAGAAACTAGAGAAAATTTTCTGACTGTAGCACAGATGTAGAGTGAGGAAGCGGGTAGGTTAGCAAAGAACCGACCAATTAACCTGGAATTAATCTGTATTAATCTGAAAGGTTTTATTCACTTCAGATCCATTAACTTTCAACTTTCAGATTCCACTCTGGAAGCAGAGATCGGGACATGGAGATGAGCCTGTTGTCTGGGTAAGGCCTTCTCTCTCAGTAATTTCAAGTGCATCCTTCTGTAGTTGGATAGTTGCGGGATCAGACATGGGCAGTGTCACCCACCTTCACTGTAACAAACTGTTATGTTTATGTTCCATCTGAATATAGAGAAACATTTTTTTACTGTGAGGGTGATGGAGCACATTACCCAGAGAGGTTGTGGAGTCTCCATCCTTGGAGATATTCAAAAGGAGATGGTCCCAGTCAGCTGGCTCTAGATGTCCCTGCTTGAGCAGGTAGTTGGACTAGACGATCTCCAGAGGTCCTTTCCAACCTCAACCATTCCATAGTTTTGTATTAATATTTATTATTCTTTTACAACAGATTTATAAAGAGCCTCTATCTGGTGCTCCTTCTTGCCATTTGTAGTAAATTAACAGCGAGACAGTAAAATGTACAGGTGACAAACCTTAATGTTGGCAAGAGTACATAACACATTTGTGGAAATTATCATCTCAATAGTGTTGGAGCTACCAGGTTTGTAGAATTTGAAATAGATCTCTGTATTTATAAGTAGATGGGTGAAAATATCCATGTAGGCCTGACCGAGGATAGAAAAATATAACTAATGTATGTATTCAGTGTCAGCAATTAAACTGGCCCGTAAATGGTGGCTTTGAAGTGTCATTTGATCAATTAATGTAATTGAGTAATTGCCACTACAGAATTCCTTTCAAGTATGTATCGTTACAGAGTTCTTGCAGTTACCTGGCATGGAAAAAAGCTATTTCTTGTGGCAATTTCTGTTTCTGAAATTCGTCAAAATAAACTGCAAACTCCTGAAGCTCTGCGATGGCTGAATCATTCACTTTCTCACAAAATATCGGTATTTTTCTAGTACATAAAAGGTTTAATTTAAAAAGAGATCCAAATGTTATGAAAATTATCTAAAAAGGAATAGGAGAGTCAGGAAAGACCAGCACAGAATATGGATTTCTCGTGAAAATTAATGAATTGAAATGTATTTTAACTTTGATGGTTTTGTGGATCATAGGTTATGTAAAGCTTGTAGTGTAATTTTTCTTATACTCTGTAACACATTCTTCTAAATATTGTGGCAAACAGTTGCATATGCATTTGGTCTGTCAAAATAGCTTGCCCAAGAGCTTTTCCATACCAGTCCCTTTTGGATTTATTTAATATTGAAAGTGTCAAAAGCTGGTGCTTCAGAATGTTTTTGTGAGTGGATTACATTTAATGTAAGGTTTAGTAAACTGTTAACAGCTACCTTTAATTTAATTTTGGAAAACAGCAGTGTACGTACCTGACACCTAACATAAGTAACTGCAGTGTCTCCAAACCTCCACCACACCTGTGTTTCTTCAAAGTTAAGGAATAAAACTCCACCTCATAAGCCAAGTGTCAAGACAAAATAATTACCTTGAAAAAGTGTGATATAGTACCCACAGGCATTTTTCTTCCCTGCTTCAAGAGCTGCTGCAGGAATTCATCTTAGTCTTATGGTCCTCTTGATCTGAGTAGTTTGCTCCTTTCTCAGTGACATGCATTTTTTTTCAGCTGCTTCTGCCAGCTAGACGCTTGGCACTTAAATTCACAAGATCGTGTAACTGCAACAGGTACAACATCTCTTGTTAGAAGAGATCACTAGGTAATTTTAATGTTAAGCTACCATCATATGTTGTTGGGAGCTTTTATTTAGGACTGGGTCTAAGCCAGAAATGCTTACCCCACTCAACTTTTGCCTTTTGGTGTGGGATGTGAAAGAGATTTGCTGTTTCCTTAGGAGTAGCATACACTTTAGTTTAGCTGTTGAGGCTTAAATCAAAGGAGGCTGGAAAGGAAGGGAGAGAATATCGAGGTTTCTTGAAAGGCACAATGGACGAGACAGGCATTAGGAAATCTCTCTCCTGGTGCCAGAAATGTTACAGGCTTAATACTTGAAGGGCAAAAAGCAGTATTTAAATAAAGCATCTGTAGCTTCTGCTTTTAGGAAGCATTTTTTTTCACTCTCCTGGCCAGTATCTCGTTAACAGTTGTTAATGGCAATTACCCTTCTTCCCAGGACTACCATGTTATTCTACTTCATGTTTCCAGCGGGGAGCAGAACTTCATTTATGATCTTGATACAGTGTTGCCGTTTCCGTGTCCTTTTGATGTGTACAGTGTGGAGGCCTTTAGGTTGGATGACAGCCTTCATCCAGAATTTCACAGGTGACAACATATAAAGACCGTGAATGTTATTCAGTGAAATCAAAGTTAAAGTTCTCTTTGTGAATGCATATTGACACATTTTTGCTGAACTCCAGTAAAATAAATGCACTGTCTGTTATTTTTCTAAATTTCTTTACTTTAGTCTCATGAAAAGCCCTTTTCTTTCCTACTGCAGTTTCTTGTTAACCAGTTAACTGCTTGGCATGATATTGCTGATTTATGTATTTAATGAAATTAATGCTCCTTGATGGGACAAGTTCTTGTTCTAGGTGACTAATGCAGTATTGTATACATGTATCTTTTGATACAATTTTGCATTATTATTTAGGAAAATCAGAATGATTCGAGCAGATTTGTACTTGAAGACATTTGCTTCAGACAGATCTCATATGAAAGATGCAAATGGGAAATGGCAGAAACCTCCTCCTTCATACCCTTGCATTGAAACTGCAGGTAGGCTGCCAGAGCTCCTTTTTCCTGCTTACAGTGTTGAATGACGTAGTCCAAGACACACACAAGAAATAAATATGCTTCCATAACATGTGTCCGGAAGCACATCCACATCCAGCTAGCTTCTTATTTCATCTGGAAAAAAAAAATAGGGCTATGAAGCATTTGGCACTTCCTTTTCTGAACATGTAAAGTCTAGCATGCCTCCTGGCATTTACCATTATCAAACATTAATTACTCATCTTCATAAACTGAGTGGAGAATTAGTTAAGTAATACTGTTCTCTCGTTGCAGCACGGAACTGAAGCAAAGAGGTCAAATAATTTGGTTACGGTCACAAAGTGAATTTCTAACACACTGATTATACCACGCTTTAGTTGTCAGGTCCCATCCTGCCAGAGCCGGTTATTTTGACAGGAGGCAGTTTTCAGGCTCTGCTCAGTGTGCTGCGTTTGCCTGCACGAGATATTTGAGGTTTTCCTACCATATGAATGGACCTGAGGACACTTTAAGGCAAACTGGCAAGTCAGCAAATTTCCCTCCAAGCCTTAAGCCTCTTTAAGTGATCGTCTAGATAACAGCCTCTGGGCCAAGCGGAGAAGTAGAGACTTGGCATCTCTTCTGTTTTGTAGAGCTGCTGAAACCATTCTCATCACACCGCATTTCAGCTTATTCTGGTGTGCTTGGCAAGCTGGCTAACATTTGCCGTGTGTGTTTGTTTTCTCATTTTCTTCCCAGATGGAGAAAAGTGTGGTGAAATTTTGCTTTTCATGTTATTGCTCTGCATGTTTGGTTTTGTTGCTTTTTAAATAATGCAGTACTGCTATGTATTTATGTTAGAGAAGACAGGGTCAAAGAAACATGTTTTGTGTTTAGGTCCCCATTTATTGTGGTTTTAAGTTTCTGGGAAGTTAATTCTGTCTTTGCTCTGGCTTCCAAGGAAGCTTGGTGTTTCACACTGGAGTAGAAATGAATTATGAATGACGGCAAGAGCATGGATGTAGTCTTCACTGTGAAGCTTTAGGTGTTTTCTAGAGAATCCAGGTTATGAAGCCCCTTAACTGAAGCACCTATGCAGGTTATGAAGCACCCATGTCTTGGTCCTTATCTCCAGTAAGGCTTTATACCAATGTAGCGTAGTGAGTGGAGAATGCCCGAACTGCAGTTCACAGCTCACTGTTAGCTGGAGTCTCCTAGGTGCTGAGAATGTTTTTGCCTGTGGAAACCTTATTGTTGTAATAATTGAGAGCTAATGACAGTGTGAGGAATATAGATCAGGCCAGACCAAGAAGCTGAAAAAATTCTGCTCAGATCAGAAGACTACAAAACATTTCTTGTGGGTAGTAAGTTACAGAATGACAGTTGCAGGTGTGTACATGGACATTTAACTGTAGCGAATGACTTAACAGCAGCAAACCCTGTAATTCTCCTCTTATCCATCTTGCTTGGTTGAGCTTTACTTCTGTGACAAGTAGCAGCCACATGGTCTCAACCCAACTTCCATATTGTCTCTCTGATGTTGGTAGATAGTGAAAGATCATCCAGTCCAAAACGTGCTCGAAACAAGGATTTCTTAGCACTCTGTCCAGTCTAGTCTTGAACACCTCCAGGGTTGGAGATTCCACCACATTTCTGGGCAATCTGTTCTACTATTTGATCATTGTCACAGTAAAAAAAAAAAAAAAAAAATTCTAGTATGTAATCAGGATTTCCCGTGTTCCAACTTGCTTTTTTTGCTTCTTGTCCCATTGCCAGGCTCCTCCAAGAAGGCTCTGGCTCCATCCTCTCTGTGTCTTCTGGTCAGGTAGATGTAGACAGCAGTAAGGGCTCCCCTTCATCTTCTCTGTTTAAGACTGAACAGGCCTAGTTGCCTCAGCCTCTTCTTGAATATCAGGTACTTCTGCCCCAAACAACTTGATGTTCCTCTTCTGGGCTCACTTCAGGATGTCAATGTTTTTTTTTTTTTTTTTTTTTTTTTTTTTTTTTTTTTCCACTGAGGCACTCCAAACTGGATCTGGTATTCCAGCTCTGTTGATGTGCTCTGGTCTTCTGGTCAGTTACCTGAATGTTGCAGGTGAAAGAAACTGGTTACTCTGCACCCACTGGAGGTGGAAGGTCCTTCATGAGGTAGCTTCAAGATCTGGGTCAGAAGACACATAGACTGTATCAGAGCTAGGATGTCTAGTTCAAGTTGTCTTTCAGTCAGTACCAGTTTCTCCAGCTTCATTTTTTGTCTTCGCTGTATTCACTTGAGATATTGTGTAACGATGCTTCAGTGGCACAGTGTTGTAAGTCAGTGAGGAGTCTGGGTGTAATTGTTGCAGAATTGTGCTGTGACTTTTAGCTGAATCTATGTCCTGTGCTTCAGTGATGTGGTTCCATAGATGAGCATGTGTCCTGCAGGGCAACATACAGGTGTAGAAAGCATTGCTGCCAACAAGTGGAACTGGTAATTCTCTTCCTTTAGGAACTGGTAAAGTAATGCCTCAGCACAGTTTTATCAGGCAGAAAAGTGCCTTATTTTAAACTTGATGGAGAGCTGGGTGGCAGACCTTTTGTTATCATGAAAGAGCCTGGGTTATTAATGTTCATGTCCATGCCAAATTCCATTGCAGATAACTGTTTTCTCCCTGCCATTTAACTTAGAGACAGTACTCTGCTTTCCATGATAACTTGTGTTTGTGTAAGATTAAATTGTTTTCATATTTCATGTTAGAGGTAACTGCAATTTAATGGCTGACAGAATTGACCACATATTGTTTTAGTATCAATTTATTTGTGAAGCATAATTAGATCAGAGCAGTATTATTATTTTGCTGTCATGTAGAGTAGCCAAATTCCTAAGCTCTTGAGAAGATGATTACAAAAGCATACAAGGCTTTTATAATAGTTGTTTTCTGTGTGTCATGTTTGATGTTAAACAATGTTTGAAGACTGAAAAAATACAATAAAAACCTATCAGTCTCTTTTAACGTATGAGCATTGTGCTATTAAAAAGACATGTGCCCATGAATTCATGGTATTTAAAGGTAATCAGCACTCCACTACTATTGATACAATTTACTATATGTTAAAGCATGTTAGGTACATTTATATATGCTGCTTTCCATATCCCACTTGGTTTTAAAGCTTTAAGTAAACTTAAAAAGACAAAAATGTTTCCTCTTGGTACTAAAATATTGCTTCTCCAGAGCAGAGCAGCTGTTAAGCCTGAATGTAGCACTTTGGAAGAGGAAATTCTGTAGTATCTGTCAGATGTGAGCTAAATAGGACTATTGGTAGGAAAATGTAATTAGTGTGGAGCTAGGACAGGATACTAGGACCAGTGATTTCTTTTTTATGAAGTAAACCAGGAAATGTTTAATGACCATGACATTCCTTTTGGAAATGAATCGAGGAATCTCTATCAGTAGCCAATTAAGCATTGTTTTTTTCTTACCACTAACTCAAAAGGAATAATTCTTAAACTGTGCTTGTGCTGCTCATGGGGTTGCAAAATAAACCTCCTAAAACAAGCTTATCTTGAGTCATAACTTTTTTAAACATGTAATGGAATTTGAAACTGCAACTAGGTGACTTTTTTTTTTTTAAAGACCTTAGCATTATTTTAAAAAAAACCCAAACAACCCCATAACCAACCAACTAAAAACCCACTCAAACTCCCTAATATCTCATCGGAACTCACATGTTTAGTGGATCATTTTGCAACTGGCTCAGCTCTAGCTGTTTCACAGAGCTAGGCCTCTGTCTTTCTTACTGGTGTTGCTCTGGCCTCTGTTCTGCTCTGCTGCTGTGTGTGCCAGGAGAAGCTGGCTAACTTAACTGGGTGCATGGTGCTTTCTGACCCAGCCCTATCCTCAAAGCAGCTCTGCTGGAATAAACGTACCTGAGCTGCAGCAGATTCCCTTGATCCCATCTGGTTGCTAGTGGTCTCCTGTTGAAAGAAAACAGGAGCAAGTGTAGTGTTTTGTTCAAATTAAAAAAATTAAGAAGATACAATTTGGGACATAAATTCATCATTCTAGTGTTGGCAGGCCCATGCTGGAGTTTTATTTTAAGTCTTCTCTCCACAAATTAATGAGGTCTGATTCTGCTTAGTTTGAGTCCTGATGAGATCAGCCCTCCTTACTGCAAGCCTGGGTAAAATACAGCTTGCACAGTGCCTTTCAAAATTACTCAGAACAGATGGTCTTATGGGTTATACACAACTGTTAGTATCAACTCTTAACACTGAAAAGCATTGGTTTGAATTTCAGCTCTCCCTGGGTGTTTGGTAGCACACTGTCAGGGTTGATTTGTAAAGGCTTTTTGTTCTTAGTATTATTAAAATCCTTGGTAGTTGTAAATGATGGGGTTTGCTTGTTTGTTTTTTTTTGTTTGGAAGAGCATGAGTAGGACAGCTGAGAAATTCTGGAGGTACTGTGTATATACAGACACATCTATGTAACAGAAGAGCTACTAGACAGAGGCCAGGCAGATGTCTTCTGTTTCTTTCTGTATCCCCTGAGGGTGGTAGGATCCTAGTGAAAGCAAAAAAAGGAGCACTGATACAGATACAAGTAGTTCATATGCATTTCATGGGAACCTTCTGCTCTTCTCATTTGAGAATAAAACTCCGGTCTGTCAAGTTATGTCCTTACTTCGTGACCTTTTATGGAAGTAAAGAATCAAGTTGGGATAGAACCAGTAAAAGTACATCTAAGGTTAGAAATATTTAAATTCTGTGAGTGTCTTATTGAAATTACGGTACTTTCTATGAAAGACAATATAAGGTGACCGGCTTTTGTTTTACACTGAGATGGACCAGGATAGTTTGTGCAGTCAGTTGTGTCTCTGCTGAGGGGACAGCACCCTCTAGCTGAGTGTGGTAACAGCCTGCAAAAACACTTCTCTCTCTCCTCAGGCAAGGGAGGGGGATCTGAAAAGAACTGTAAACACCTACGCAAGTCTCTGAAGAGCCCAACTTTCTAAGTATTTTAGGTGCCCCCAAGGTTAGGCAGCAGCAGAGCTGATCTTGGAGGCTTTGCTTCTGACTCGCTCACCTCCAGCAGCCCTGCGGCAGCTGTCATTATGCAGTTAGTCCAAGGTCTATGAGCCAAGCTAAGGCTTGGCTGAAGTATTGCTTTCTAACTACTGTTGGCAGAAGCCACAAGTATCATGGCTAACAGTGCCATCTGATTGTGTATGGCCTTTTATTTCGTCCCTGCTCAAGGCAAAAGGGTCAGACTTGATTAAAAAAGATAAAATTATTCAAGAATCCAAGAATGTGCCAGCTAGATGTCATGTAACAAAGTGGGTTTGGTCAGAGAGGAAGATCGCCTCTGAGCATGCACAAATGCAAGCTAGTGTAATAGCCACAGCATGTGAGGAGGACTGCAAGTATAAATTAAGTCTTTTTAAAAAAAAAAAAAAAATTACTCTGTTCCTCTGGACTTTGTATAAATATTATATAAAGCATGCTCCTCCTTGCTTTTGTGGAGAAATCCTTTTGGTTTGTCAGCTGTAACATCCAGAGGTCTCTCCTGTAAATTCTGCTGTTTGTTATTCCTCATCTGATTCAGGAAGAGGACTTTGTGGTGTTCTTATGCATTTTTGCAAAGCTGTTTCCTAAAACTGCAAGGTCTAATATAACATACATGACATCCAGATACAGCATATGAGTATATGAGTAAGAAGAGTGGCATGGAGAGACTATTTTCTCCTGAATTGAATAAAACAGGAGAGGTCTCACTATGTTTTTTCCCATGGATAGCTCTCATACTGCTTCAGTGCCATCTACTGACTGGCTCTTAGACCATCTGCTCTTCACAGGAATGTTCCTGTTTGCTTTGTTAAACAATTTTTCATTTCATTAAACTTCTGCGATGGACTGTGTTATGCTGTGCCGCAGCCTTTCTGAATTTAAGATAGTATTTCACTTCCTACAGACACTGTGACAGCAACTTCCAAGTTGCTAACAACAGCGGCTGTGTTTTCAACTCTACTGGAACAATCCCCTTTGTGCTTCTTCACCATTCATAGAACAGTTTTATGAAATTATTGTCCTGCTATGCTCAGTGCATATAAAGCAGGGGATTAGTTATCTTTCAAATCTTAAACTATATAAAGAATCACATAAATTTTAAAACAAAAGCATCAGGGAGGAAAAGACAAGTTGGGAATTGGAAAACAGACCTACCAGTCTACCAGCAAGCAAGAGCTGTTATCTGCTACTAATTGTTCTTGAGCTACAACAGCAATTTGGACTTGTGCTATTTTAAAATCCCCTCATAGTCAGGCAGAAATTGGCTCTGTTCTGCTAGACTCATTTCAGCAGCAGGAAGATGCTTGGCTGAACATAAGGATTTTAAAACGTGCAGAGCCCGAATAGGTTAACAAGAAAAGAGTTAGGGGCCAGACCTCGGAAGTGGTGAGAGCTGGGATTAGGCAAATCACAAAGCTCTGCCATAGTGTAGATGTGGTGCAAATAGAGGGCTTCAGGGACTGGATTATGGCTGGGACTCCTGGGTCTGGGATTCCCAAGCATTATCTTCCATTCCTCGCTTACGCTGTCCATAATGGTAAGCCTAATTACACAAGCTTTTTGCAGCTGAAGCAAATTCCATCCTATGGATTTTCTAATCCATTCATTAGAGCCTACTCTTGTTTGGTTCTTAATCCTTAAATGTGCACATGAATCATCCATGTTAAAATAAATACTTAAATATAGCAGGAAAGCTATAACAGTAAATCCAATGGCTTTCCCACTCTGTTCTTTCAACTCATTCTCTTCCAGTTTTCTTTTAATGGACATTTTAAAAGATTATTTGCACAGATCGTCAGTGAGAACATAAAACAACAAACCCACGGATGTTTGTAGTCACAGCTGAATAGGTTGAGGAGTGGGAAACCTCTGATCAGCATGGTTCTGAGCCAGCAAAGCTTGTACCAGGCCAGCTCTAGAAAAAGGATGTACAAGGCACCTAAACCCGAAACTGCACACCAGCACTTTGCACTGAGCTCTCTGGGATCCGTGAATGGGACAGAATGGTTTCTACCTCTCCTGAGAGGGTCAGAGCAGATCAAATTCCTGGCAAAGAGCCAGTCATGCTTACTTTTTTCCTGAAATTATGGCAATTAACCTTTTTCTCCTCTGACTTTATTCAGTGGTTCAGGAGAAAAAAAGAAAAGAAAAAAAAAAGAGTTTGTGCCCAGCCTACGTTTATGCCCTCCTTTGTCTGAGCATCCCTCTAGGCTCTGGGATGGGTTATGTCAGATGCTTTCTCCTGTTTGCATATTCTGGCCTTGCGGTGGGCTGGTGTACAGCAAGGACAAAGTTCAGGGCTGGAGATAAGGCAAATATAGAGCAAATACTGTTGCCTGGGGAGTAACAAATTGTAGATTTGCTGAGGGGCTAATTGCTTCTTAGAGACATTAAGTAACTTCCAATTCTGACTGCTGCTCTGATCTAGTTCCTCTGTAGTCAGTGCAAAACCTGACTCATCTGACTTTGGTTCAGAACTTAATGGGGGAATAGTATCTCCCCTGCTTTTGAGTAATTGGATTTGTATGGATATAGGGAGACTACAAGCACCTGTTGCATTGCAATTCCCTTTGCTGGTTGTTTGCACTCCCGTTCTCCTGACACTACTCAACCCTTCTAGGCTGCTGTTGCAGGGAAAAATCTTACTCTTTCTTATACATACTAGTTTCTAATGACTAAGGATGTTTAGTGATCTGGTAATGTGATTATTGCCATGGTCAGAGGGAGGGATCAGGGGCAAAAGCAATATTTCAGAGACTGGAAATACATGTTTTTGTGGCACCGTACAATTTGCAGAATCTTGCTGGACTGCTACTCTGCAAGTGTGCTATGAACTCTTTGCTGTTTTGAACTGAACTATCAAAGAGGGGTTTTCAGGCGTTTTTGTGATAGATGTATACCTGTGCTATAGAAGCTGCATCAGAAATTTAAACATTTCCCTTTCCTGGTCCTTTTTTAGACTCCAAGATGAATTTGGATGATTTCATCAGTATGAATCCCAAAGTGGGATGGGGCTCAGTGTTCCTTCTCCCGGACTTTGTGCATCGCTTTGGCAGACAGTGATTACAGCTATTCTTTGAAAGAACAGTGAAGCGAACAAAGAAGTTCTCCCTACTTCTGTTTTGAGTGGGTGTGTTTTGTTCTGCTGCTCTTATACTGTATGGTTTACATTTATTTACATGGAATAAGTATTTGGGCAAATAGAATGCCCAATCAGAAAGATCATGAACTGAATAAAAACTTTTATTTTGATTATGTAAGATTGAACTTGGTTTTTAATATGTCAAATCAAAGGCAAACTTCCCACTGTAAGCATATTATTTTTCCATCTACTGTGCCCAAATTGAAAAGAGCATTTACATGTTGTAAGAAAAGCTTTTGGAAGAATACATGCATAAAAACTACATAAATACATGTATCAAACTGTTAAATGTCGCCATGTTTTAGAAGTGACATACTTCAGAAGTGAGTATATTCTTTACATTATGACTTCTATCACTTACGTAAACAGATGGTGCATCTCAGTTTAGTCACTAGCTTTATCAATTAGGCTTATTTAGCAGAAGCCTAAAGGCCAGACCCACAAAGGGAACAGAGTTTTGGGAGTACAATCTTAAACTCCCAAGCACTGTGTAAAACCAGGTAAGTATCTAGGTTTCTGTGCTGTAAAAGGGGAGAATTAAATGCCTGCCATTTTAGTTAAACTGTTCCTGTGCTGATGGTTGCTGGAAGATGCAGTTGCATTTCCTTTTTATGCTGGCTGCGCATTCTTACCTGCCCCTATGTGCTTGTACTTGGCATTGTCTGGTCCCATGGTAATCCAGGGTAGGAAGCTAAACTGACAGAAAGAAATAAGGTGGTTTGTTTTTTTCCTGCTCTTAGTTACTTGAACTGGCTTGCCATGAGGTCAGCCAGCTGCTCTTGCTGCCATAAGGAAATCTGCAGGAACATATGGTTGGGGGGAAGGGAATGAGAAAGTCTGCCCCATACAGGGTCACTTGCTGCTGAATTTCCTTTGAGGTGATATCAAGCTCTGCGTCCTTGCTGGGGAACCCAAGAAAGCCATTGTTTTGATTGGAGGTTTGGAGCAGTCTCCCACCTCTTTGAGAGCATCTTAAACATGGGATTGCAGAAATAGGCTAAAATGGGGTATTTATTTCTCTGCTTTTGGACCTGGTCTACTTTACATACTTGGATATCATAGAATCACAGACTAGTAGAATAATTCAGGTTAGAAGGGCCAGGTGGTCTCTAGGCCAGTCTCCTGTTCAAATCAGGTCAGACCAGGCAGCTTAGGGCTTTATCCAGTCAGGCCTTGGAAACCTATAGGGATTGAGACTACAATAAACATTTGTGATAGATTTCAGTCTTGGGGATCATTTTATTTGTAAGTACAGAAAAATAAAAACTTCAAAGATACTTACATGTATATTACTGTTATATAGGTGTATTATTATACACATATTCTATTGCATCAGTTCCAGAGAATTTACTCAGCATGTTAACAGCAGAGACAGACCACTGAAGGACTGGGATTGATTCACTTCATCTCTTTTTCTGTGTTGTAAGGACTTTCTGAATGTAGAAACTTACACTTTCTGTTGCCAGATGCAGCACAGCTGCTTGGCTGTGCAGATAGCTTGCTACCACACGGATTCCTTGGGTGCCAGTATGGACTACGGATAGAAGGTCTTGTCAGGGCACTCATCTGCAGAGTGGGAGAGTTGATCTGTAGTTTCTGTCTCTGAACCAACTTCCCTAGAAGAGATGGAGATGATGGAACTGGGGATTCCTGACAAACTGGTGCTCAGAGCTCTCTTGTGAGGGAGCAACTCTGGATTTGACTAGATACACCTCCATGAAAGGACTGATGATGGATGAAATGGCAGCTCTTTCTGCATGACGCTGATGTGGCAGGCATGCTTTGAATGAGTGAAGACGTTACTGGTTTTGAGTGATGTCAATACTAGTCGTGAATGTGCACAGCAGCAGAAATTTGTTTGCTCAGCCCTATATAGATGCTAACCCAGTGCCCAGGGCATTGCACGCACTGCCCAGGTTAGACAATACCAGAACTGAGAATTTGAAGATCAGTGGTTTAACTGAATGGGTTATGTTAAGCACTTTTTATCCTTCAAGTGGCTGAGTCATATACACAGAGTTCCTGTGTGTTGGTTAACAGACCCTTTAAGTGGTTGCAGAACATTAGGTTCTCATCCCTCCCTACTTGAGTATGTCATTTGATTTAAATACTGAGCTGCCATCCTCAGCTAGTTTCCGGTGACTGAAATCCATGACACACTCCCTTTAGTGAGGCTCAGACACAAGAATTTGCCTGGTTTAGTCTAGTTTCAGGATCAAGGCTGTTAAGAAGGAGAACAATCACAACGGTTATTCAGAATATAAAAGTTTAAAAAAAAATCAATGTGAAGACAGTCCTTTTTCTCTCTAATCATTCTGAACAGATGCTTAATTTTACATGTAGCAGGCTCTGTGTGTGTGATGAGAGCTTTTCTATAATTGATAATCTTTTTGTAGCTCTTGTAAAAAAGTTGTCATTCCAGAGGGATAGGTAAAAGCCAGAGAATTACTTCTTTCAGTGATGAGGGTGTTGATATTGTGGTGCTGTCTCTGTTGCCCTTCAAGCTTCATGGCATTTCATCACCATTTCAGAAAGTGTACTGTCAGGAAGACAGAATTCAAGAATACATCAAGTTCTCATTTAGGGCTCCAAATACAAAGAGGAGCTGCTTGCTTCAGTATAATTAGCAGAGACCAGCCAGCCCTTTTTCTAATGCTGATAGCCTCGGTGTCCCATCAGATGGACTAAGTGAATTCTCTCCCCCCTTTACTCCTTTCTTTCTCCAATTAACATCCTGACTGTTTTGGGAGAACTTGCTGTGTTTAACTTTTCTGCTGTCACCTCAGACCTGATGTGTGATGTGTCCGCACCAGCACAGTTTACTCATTGAGCACCACAGTCAGTCACAGGCAGAAAAATGGTTTGTTGCGATCCACTTTGCTGCATGCCTGCAGAAGCAGCGTATGTCAGAAGTACAAGCAAAGAACTGCCACTGTAAAGCTGATGGTGAGGAGGCAGCTTCACTGCCAGACACCACAAATTATCAGCTCTATGATCATTGATGTTTTTAAACACCTAAGATTCAAGCGACTTTCTACCATGAACATACATATGTATGGGGTGTACCATATGGCAGAGCATGACTTGGTGGTCCTCAGGTACAGCTCCACGCTGGCCAGTAGAGCCACCCAAAGTGGTACTCTAGGGAGAGCCTCATTCCTTTATGCAGGGGAGCTGGGCTCGTGCTACTATGAGATATGAAATAAAATGAAAGCTTTGTCATTACTGCAGAGCTGCTTTGCTGGGTGCACTGGCACTGCAGGATCAGCATGTGCTCACCTATAGCTGTCGATAGCACTTAAGACTTTTAATCTTCCCTGTGTCCAGATGATGTCCCAATGTGTCCACACAAAGATGGGCTGCTTATTCACTTTCACTACAATTACCTTAGTGCTTTCCATTCTGTTTTAGCCTTCTTTACCTTGTCCTTTCCCACAGTGAAGTTCTTCTATTGTCTAGTTTTTACTACAGTGTGTAATAATATGTTGTGCGGTGGCTTTTTGGACTAGGTCACCCTTCAGTCAGGCACTGAACAAAGTGAGGAGAACCCCCCCCTGCCCTCAGATCAGTTACAATTCCATGGTCTCCCAGCTTCTGTATTCTGCTGGTCGCTGGAAGTTTTCCAACACTTTTACTTCTAGACACGTTAGGGTAAGACCCGATAGCCTTAATACTCATAATGGCAGGATGTTCTATATCACGGGTAGTTCTCACCTCCATCAGGCTGTTGATGCAGTAAGCTGCAGCAGAGGTGGGACACCCACGTTTCTCCTGCCTTTTTCTCCTCTTTGCTGCTACTTTTTAGTTAGCAGTACAGTTTACTTAATAGCTAACCTCTTCTAGTCGCCTCTTTGGGACTTTAGAAAAAAAAAGGGCCACATTTGTGGCATGTATTTGCTCGGTCAGCTCATTTCTGCAAACGTAAATGACCAGGTCTTGAGAAAATACCATTTCTCAGTTGGCCAGCAGAGAGAGCAGTCAGCATTCGGTGGATGTGCAGGTTGGGACACAGCCAGAGGCGCTCTCCTGCACACTTGGCCCTGCCAGTAGCTGTTACAGTTAAAAAAAAGATTCTGACAGCAGTGCAGAGGTGATTTGTATCTTGCAAGGTTGCAGCTAACGAGTTATGTGTAACTCTCTAATGTCAGTGCATGTCCTTTCTGCACATCAAGGACTACATGTGAGCATCATCCAAGCATTTACCATTTTTGGGGGGATCTGAAATGGGTGTGTGACACCTTAGATTATCAGACTAATTACTTTATCAATATATGGATTTCAGGGGCTAAATTTAGGCACCCAGCACATTGCAATCTGATCTGTGCTGTTAAATAAACTGCAGAGAGGCACCAGGGTGTATTTGTATGAATCAGATTCCAGGATGAGAGCCCAGGTCGAGACATTTTGACCTGCATGACCTCCACTCCTCAACCCCTCATTGTCCAGCCAGAGCCTCGTGCATGCACTGAAGCACTGTTGCTCTCCAAACACCTACTGTAAAATGGCCATCTCTGAGGTCCACTTATCTTTTGTTAGAATAACTTTGGTCCAAATTTTTTTGTTTTATGGTGCTGTAGTTTTTTTCTCCACCTTTTCATAAAACATGGGTTGTGGACTGAATGACCTGAGAAAGCTGTAGGAAATAGGCAGGAGGTGTGAAAATCCTGCCCTGTCCCTGCAGTAGTCGCAGTTACCTCCCACCGTGTGCCTTGCAAAACTATTATGAGACACCATCCATGACCCAAGTGATGGCTGTCCCCTGCAACTGGCACGAGCCACACTGCCAGAGGAGAGGACCAGCAAAGCATCACTTCACACATCACCTGGCTGAGCAGATGGCTTAGGGTTTGTCGGGGTTGCCCTCCTATGACACTTTGGATTCGCAGGCCTGGAGAATCTCATCTCCTCTTGAGGTGAAACCTGTCTGGACATCTGTCTCTCTTCAGGTAATTACCTACTCAAAATTTGAGGGAGGGAATACTGGTGATTTTCTTCTCCCTTCTGGCTTCCTCCTTATGCAGGAGTTGGCCCAGTTGAGGCTAAGGTTAATGAAGCATACCCGGAGAATGAGTGTCTGGAGACATCTGCTCAGGTTTGCTCAGCAGCTGCGTGCAGCCT